ACATTTTGAGAGTGCTTGTATGTGTTTATGGATAAATGGTATATCTGTATGTGTGTACATACGCATACATGTTGTAATGGCCTTTGTAATAGAGATACACATATAAATTTATATGTATATGTTTTAGTCCAAATGGATTTACTATTATACTATTTTTTAAACTTTTGGTTTGTTTGATTTTTGGTTTTTTTGGTCTTTTTTTTTATGAAGCAAGATCTTGCGCTGTCCCTCAGGCTAGAGTGCAGTGATGTCATGATGGCTCATGGCAACTTCAAACTCCTAGACTCAAGCAGTTCGCCTGCCTCAGCCTCCCAAGTAGCTGAGACTCCAAGCACGTACCACACACCTGGTTAATTTTTCTATTTTTTTGTAGAGACAGCAGAGTCTTGCTTTTGCTCAGGCTGGTCTCAAACTCCTGGCCTCAAGCAATCCTCCTGCCTCAGCCTCCCAAACGGTTTTTAAACTTCTTCAACAATATCAAACTTCTTCACAGACATGGAAAAATATATATATTTACATATATATGAAGTCTGTGTAATCTATATATAACCTCATCATTCCTTAAAGGCTAAATAGTATTTTACTATATGGTTACACCATAATTGTTTAACAAATCCTCTGTTATGGACTTATAGGTCATTTCCATTATTTTTTATATCAAATGATATAGGACCTATCCAATTATTTCCTTAGTATGAGGAATTTTTGACTTAAGGTTATATATTTTTAAATGTTTTTATTCTCACTACTAAAGTCCTCCAGAAAGTTTATATCAATTTATAATCTCATTGACACCATATGAATGACCATTTCTCCACACTTATGCCAACCATGGTATTATTATTCTTTATAATCTTTACTGTTGTGATAGGTCAAAAGTAATGTGTTAACAAAATATGCTTTCATTTATTTGCTTTCTAGTGCTTGGGGAAAGATTTTTTCATGTATTAATAAGTCATAATTCTTTTCTAGTTTATTGCTTCTTTATATCTCTAGCCCATTTTCTTTTTTCTGATAGTGTATTTGTCCATCTTGTTGTTTCCTAGTGAATCCTCTGTCTTAAATGCTGCAAATTTTTTTTCTTTGTTTACCGCAAGCTGTTCTCTTTCACACTATATAAGAACTTCAGCCTTTTTCTTCATTATTTCTGCTTCTGATGTCTTACTTAGAAAGCTCTCTTCTACCCCAAGATTATATAAACATTCCCTACATTTTTAGAAGGGTAGGTTTCTTAAATAACTTCATATTTTCTTAGGAATTTTCTGTCAGGTTTTTGAACTCTCTAGGAAGCATTTTTTTTTAAGTTTTAGCATTAAATGTAAATGAATTATTTCTGTCTCTTATTTTTATAGCCCATTATTTTCTCTTTAAAAACTGTCATTAGAGCAGTGTCATTTTGGGATTGCCATTATATTTAAAAATTGAACATGTAAGATTGTATGTTTTTATTAAATTTAACCTTCTCTTTCTACTTTAGGTTGGCAGGTTTGACTGTTCCTCTGCACCAGCCATCTGTAGTAATCTCTATGTTTTTCAGCCAAGTCTAGCAGTATTTAAAGGACAGGGAACCAAAGAATATGAAATTCATCATGGTAAGTATGGAAAAAATGATAAGAATTAAACTTCATTTTTAAATAGAAATTTTCTAATTGTGGTTTTTTTTAAACCTTGTTTTGTATGGCCATGCTTATTGTAAATAACTTTGCTCTTAGTAAATATGAGGAATGATATTTTGAATTACACAGTCATTTTATTCTCTTTACTCTTCTTTTTACAATAAATATTTCTTTTCCATTCAATATTTTGATCAGTGTTTCTGATGATAGGTCAGGCTAGTGAGGAGTTTAAGTCCTGCTTGTTGGCAAAAGTAAGCAACACCTGCAGTTAACATTACAGTGTGCCACATGTGGCATCTCAGCCATTACAGGCAATTTCCAGATATTCTTTTGGATTTTTCCACCACTGAACTTTCAAACTTCTCCATTAATTGTCTTGTTCTCTCTCTTGCATTTATAATTACATTTCTCTATTTCAGCTTATTTGAGACTTTATCTCTGCATTCATGTAAATACAGTTCCAATTCCAAGAGTTTGGGATATATCAGAGTCCCTGTCCTGAAAGAGGTCAAATGTAACAAAAGAGACACGCACACTACCAACTATAATACAGTTAAGTGAATAACAGATACTGATGAAATGCCTGTTACGTGACAAACACTGCTTTAGGTCTTAGGGATACAAAGTTGTAAAATATAAACTCTCAGGAAGTTTAAAATACAGTTTATTTAGGGACAGGAGGAGAGAGATACATAAGAAAATGTGAAAAATATTTCAGTGCCCATTATGTATAAATTACAACAAGATCAAATAAAAAGACATCTGCAAGGTATAGGTTAGGAGGTAACATTTGAATTGAGGATAAAATGCTCAATTTCCCCCAGCAAATATAGGGGAAAAGGAAGTGGGGCCTCTAAGCTGGAGGAACTGTGTGAGCAAAGGCTTGGCAAGATAACCCTAACTACTGTTTATTCGGTATTTTATACAAGTCAGACATTTTGCTAAGAGCCTTGCATCCATGATCCATTTTTATCTTCACAACCCAGTGAAGGGGAAAATCGAGACTCAGAAAGGTTCAGTAACTTGCCTGCCCTGTGACAATGAACTAGAAACTGGTCAAGATAGATTTTTAATCCAAATGTGTCTGATTCCAAAACTTAGGTTTATGACCACTAAACTATGCCATGTCCTAAAAATACTGGAAGTGATCAAGTTTTAATAATGGAGTTATATTTTTTTTCTACCTCTTGACATATTTCTCAGATTCCCCCTCTTTCCTATGCTTGCTGCCTTGTTTCAGGCCCATGATCTCCTTCATCTATTGTAATACCATCCTCCTAGAGGATTGCTTGTCTCCTAGCCTTTCCTATATACAATTGATTGCTTATTTTGTTTGCAGAGTTATTACCCATTCTCATGTCACTTTTCTGCCTTGAATTTCCTGATTCCTTATAGAATAAACTTCAGATTCCTTAGCATAGTAGCTATGACTGTTTTGTTCAATTCTCTGTCTCTAGCCCCTGTTAATAGAATGGTTCCTGGGACACAATAGGATCTCAGTAAATGTTTGTTAAATGAATGGAATACATTCACACTCTGCCTCTGCCAAGTTTTCCAGCCTTATCGCCCACCTCTGCCCCCCAAATAATCTTAGCTCCATCTACTTTTGGATCCTCAAAAATGCCACGTTCTTTCACTGTCCTCTGTGCCTTCACAGATGATTTTTTTCTCCTATATTATAATCATTCCTTCCTGCTCCTCAAAACGTTTAGCAAACTCCAAATCACCCTTCAAAACTTAAAGCAGTTTCTCCCCTAGGAGATATACTGTGAATCCCCAAGCACTTCCTTGTATGTGCTCTTACTACTTCATAATATCTTACATTTTTCTCTGGATTTAAGTTGATATTGAGCATCTATATGCACCAGGTACAGTACTGTGGAATAGGAAAAACTGAAATTATACTTAATCTCTACCTCAAAGACTATTATGGACTAGTAGGGAAAACAGACAAGTAAATGGGCAAATTTAAAAAAAAAAATGTTTGAAGTGGAGAATATTACTGAGTAGTAAATTACCCTAATACTTAGTGGCTTAAAACAATAAACATTTATTAATTCACAGTTTTTAGTGATCAGGAATCTGAGAACAGCTTAGCTGGGTGGTTCTGGACTCAGGTTTTCTCATGAGGTTCCAGTCAAAGTAGGCGGGGGCTGTGTTTGTCTGAAGGCTAGACTGCAGCTATAGGATTTGGTTCCAGGCTGACTCATGGAATAGTCAGGAGGCCTAGGTTCTTTACTGGTTGTTGGCACAGGCCTCAGTTCCTCACCATGTGGACCTCTCTATAGGGCTGTTCACAATATGGTAGCTGGCTTCTCCCAGAACAAGTAATCTGAGAAAGAGAGAGACCAAGACAGAAGCAACATGTCTTTTATAACCTGATCTCAGACGAGACAAACTATCATTTCTCCATATTCTATTGGTCGCATACCCCAACCCTGATTACAGTACAATGTTAGAAGTTCATGAGGCAAGGGTCTTTGGGAACTGTCTTGGAAATTGGCTACCACAAGGGATGAGGATGGGTTGCATTTAGGAAGAAACTTAGGAACAATCTTCTGGGATTAAAGAGAGCAGTCTCTATGCTGAGATCTGAAGTGTAAGTAAAGATTACCCCAATGAAGAGGTGGTAAACACACTCCAAGCACCAGAATCAGCAGATGTTTTCTTAGACTCTGACATAAGAGAGCGAGCCTCATTGATCTTAGACAAGCAAGGATTTCAGGATAGCTTGAATGTTGAGTGTTGGGAAAGGAATGAGACTTGAAGCTGGAGAGGGCAGGAGGGGTCCAAATTATGTGCCAGATTTGCCAGTTAAAGTAATTTGGACTTTATCCTGATGGCAAAGCAGAGACATTTAGGAATGTAAGCAGAGGTATGATTTAACTAGTTTTACATTTTTGAAAGGTGACTGGCTGCCTAGAATGGATGGAAGCAAGAATGGAGGAAGGGGGAACAGGCAAAAGCTTGATACACTCATTTATTAAGAGGAGATGGCTGCCTTAATGATATGATGGTGATGTGGATGAGGAGAACTAGACAGATTTTTAAAAGACCAAGAGTTCAAAATCAATACAACTTGGTGGTTGTGCTGTGAGGGGGGCAATAAAGGGAAGAATCAAGGATGATACCCATGTTTCTGACTTGATGAATTGGCACTTAAAAAATTGTACCGTTCATGTAAGTTCACTGTGGTAGCAATATAGAAAATGGGTTAGTTAAGGAAGGCTGGAGGAAGAAACACCAGCTAGGTTACTGCAGTAAGCCAGACTGAATTCAGGCAGTAGCAATGGAGTCGGAGATGGTAAGCAACAGAATGGATAGAATTATGGTACAAGGGCAGAGAAAGAAGGCAAATTTCACTCTAGGGAATAATATTTAGGATGGTTATGCTCATACCAAGACAGAGAAGGTGAGAAAAGGAGCAAGTTTGGAGGAAAATAACTCAGCTTCAATTTGAATATACAGTCATGCCTCATTTAATGAAAGGGATACATTCTGAGAAATGCATCATTAGGTGATTTTATCGTCATACAAGCATCATAAAGTGTACTTACACAAATCTAGATGTGTAGCCTACTACACACCTAAGCTATATGGTATGGCCTATTGCTCCTAGGCTACAAACCTGTACAGCATGTTACTGTACTGAATACTGTCTGCAACTGTAACACAGTGATAAGTATTTGTGCATCTAAACATACCTAAACATAGAAAAAGTAATGCGTTGTGCTATAACGTTAGGTGATAGGAATTTTTCAGCTCCATTATAATATTATGGGACCACCACTGTAGATGTAGTCTATCATTGACCAAAATGTCATTTTGTGGCACGTGACTATATTGTGTTTGAAATGTTTATGTGATATCCAACTATGGTTTTCTCCTGGGCAATTGGTAATGTGCGTTTTGAATTCATAAGAGGTCTAGGTTGAAGAAAAAGATTCAGGGATTAGGCCTACAGTAATAGCTGAGGTATTAAAAAGTGATTATTTTACCTATGAGGATGAAGCAACATTTCAAAGAGATCTTGACATTTTAACTAGTCTAAGAAACAGAAGAATATGCAAGGAATGGGTACTCCGGGCAGTGCAAACCTGTGTAGGTATACCAAACACTAAAACCTTGCCAAAATTAATTTGTTCATAAGTTCATCTTCCTTTAATATTTTGAATATAACAATTTTGAAATATTTCTATGAATGCAAATGGCAAAATGTGGATTTTAATTTTTTTCTTATTCAATTTCAAAGGAAAGAAGATTCTGTATGATATACTTGCCTTTGCCAAAGAAAGCGTTAATTCTCACGTTACCACACTTGGACCTCAAAATTTTCCTGCCAATGACAAAGAACCATGGCTTGTTGATTTTTTTGCCCCTGTAAGTTATTTTTATCTGTCAAATTTTAATAATTGTCAGATTTTCTCATCATAGCAAAAAGACACTGTCTAGATAACCTTGAACCAGAACTGTGTCACTCAATTTTGGCCACTGTTGCATCATACTTCTAAGTGACTGTTAATGTAATTACGACTCCAAGGATTAAGTATATACCAGTAAGATTTGCCAGTAAGTATAGTTTGACTTACTTAGCATATTGCTTGGTGCAAAAATGATGGGTTTTTTGTTTGTTTGTTTGTTTGTTTGTTTCATTTGGCTTAATGCTTATGAATATTTTTTTTTTCCTAGTGGTGTCCACCATGTCGAGCTTTACTACCAGAATTACGAAGAGCATCAAATCTTCTTTATGGTCAGCTTAAGTTTGGTACACTAGATTGTACAATTCACGAGGGACTCTGTAACATGGTAAGTCAAAGCATAAACAGTGTATTCTAATTAATGTTCTTATAAAATGGAGACATTTTGTCAGTCTGATATTAAAACAATAAAATAACTTTTTCAAATATACATCTTCCATTTAGAGTCCTAGCAAATGATTGAAACAAATAATTTGCACAGAATGATATCAAATTATGATTAGATTAAAACATGAATAGATAATCTATTGGTAGAATGTAGATAAGGTCTTATTTATCAAACTCAGGCAAATATTTAGTTGACTGATAAAATGCTTCTATAATTTTTATTCTTTGGCTTTCCTCATCCTTGTCGTCTTATTTTATTTAATAGGAAATTAATGAGCAAGCTTTTTGAAATCTTTGTTTACATGAAAATATTTCTCAGGTAAATATTCACTCCTCTGTTTCAGGAAGAACTAGCAATTATATACCTTATGATGAAAGTATATACCACCTATAAATTCTTGGCAAAAAAAAAAAATCTTAAAATAGATCAAGCCTCCAGATCCATTATTGTATGGGAAATCCAATGACAGGAACATGTTAAGTGACACCATAGACGTGCAATCTGCAAATTCCAGCATGTGGAGAACTATGCAGGACAGACACCCAGCTTATTGGACAAATATATTGTAGGGAACAGGGGAGAAGAGATTAAAGAGACTTAAAAGACATCAGTCAAGTACTATGTTTAGGCCTTCTTTGGATGCAGTTCATACAAAAAGTGCAAAAAAAAAAGATAGTGGGAAAAATGTGAACACTGACCAGATATCTAATAATTTCAAGGAATTATTGTTAATTTTTAGATGTGCAAATAATACTGTGGTTATATTGAGGGAAAGTCCTTAAATTTTAAATATACTGAAATATTTGTGGATGAAATGGTATATCATCTCGAATT